TAAGGAAAACAGTATGAAGATTCCCCAGAAAATTAAAAATAGAATTACCATATGATCCAGCAATTCCTTCTGGGTATATATCCAAAGGAAACAAAATTACTATTTTGAAAAGATATCTGCACTCCCATGTTCACTGCAGCATTATTTACAACAGCCAAGTCATGGAAACAATCGGCGTCCATTGACGGATAAACACATAAAGAAAATGTGGTGTATATATACATACAACGGAATATTATTCGGCCATTAAAAAAAACGAAATCTTGCCATTTGCAATAACATGGATGGACCTTGAGGGCATTATGCTAAATGAATAAATTAAGGGGAAATACTGTATGATTCACTTATATGTGGAATAGTAAATATAAAAAACTCATAGATACAGAGAACAGATGGGTGGTTGCCAGAGGCAGAGGGTCAGGGGCAGGGGCGAAATGGGTAAAGGTGGTCAAAAAGTACAAACTTCCAGTTATAAGATAAATAAGTCCTAGGGATGTAATGTACAGCATGGTGACTATAGTTAACAACACTGTATTGTATATTTGAAAGTTGCTAAGTGACTAGATCTTAAAAAGTTCTCATCATAAGAAAAAAATTTATAACTATGTGTGATAGATGTTACCTAGACTTACTGTGGTAATCATTTCACAATATATACGTATATCAAATCATTATGTTGTACATCTTTAATACAATGTTATATGTCAATTACATCTGAATTTAAAAAAAGAGTTATTGGAGAAAGGGAAGGATAAATTATCAAAAAAAACGGGGAAAAACTTTCTGTAAATTCTTCATAGAAGGGTTTGTGTTATATATTTTCTTTCCATCTTAAAAGAAAAAAACAGGTATATCCAGAGAATAAAAGGATATACTAATATTACTCAATTCTCTGTCAAATAATACTCTTTACAATATTCTTTAAATAATTAAGAAAGGCAAGACAAATTCTGATCAGATGGGTGGTGGAAACATAAGATTAGTACTCTAAAATTAAAAGAAGTATTTACTATTTGAGCTACTCTAATAAATCAAGCTCTTATTATTTATTTGTACCCTACTAGACTAGTCTTAAAAAGAATGTAAGGCAGTGAGCAAGATTACATATTTTAAAAAACAAACCAACCAACTGGGAGAAAATATTTGCAAATCATATCCGACAAGGCGTTAATTTCCAAAATATATAAAGAACTCATACAACTCAACAACAAAAAAACAAACAACCTGATCAAAAAATGGGCAGAGGATATGAACAGACATTTTTCCAAAGAAGATACACAGATGGCCAACAGGCACATGAATAGATGTTCAACATCACTAATTATCAGGGAAATGCAAATCAAAACTACAATGAGATTTTTTACCTCACACAGGTAAGAATGGCTATAATTAACAAGACAAGAAATAACAAGTGTTGAAGAGGATGTGGAGAAGAGGGAACCCTCATACACTGCCAGTGGGAATGCAAACTGGTGTAGCCACTATGAAAACAGTATGGAGATTTCTCAAAAAATTAAAAATAGAAATACCATATGATCCAGCTATCCCACTACTGGGTATTTATCCAAAGAACATGAAAGCAACAACTCTAAGAGGTTTATGCATCCCTATGCTCATCGAAGCATTATTCACAATAGCCAAGACATGGAAGCAACCCAAGTGCCCATCAATGGATGAATGGATAAAGAAGATGTGGTATATGTATACAATGGAATACTACTCAGTCATAAAAAGACAAAATAGTGCCATTTGTGGCAACATGGATGGACTCTGAGGGTATTACGCTAAGCAAAATAAGCCAGACAGAGAAAGCAATACCGTATGATTTCACTCATATGTGGAAGATAAACACATGGGTAAGGAGAACAGATGAGTGGTTACCAGAAGGGAAGTGGGTGGAGAGGAGGGCGAAAGGGGTAAAGGGGCACATATGTATGGTGACGGATAAAAACTAGACTGTTGGTGGTAAACATGATGCAGCCTATACAGAAACTGATATATAATAATGTGCACCTGAAATTTACACAATGTTATAAGCCAAAATGACCTCAATAAAATAATTTTTAAAAAAACAACAAGATAAACTAAAAGTGAGACAAAATACATTGCAAACACCAGGAGTAGGTACAAACAAAATGGAGCCTAGATTATAGCTTCACTAGTTCCTCTATCCCCTTCCAAACTCCTCATTCATCTAATATTCTTCTTCATCTGCTTTGCCCAACCCTAACCCAACCTAAGAAGTTCCTGGGTCTTCCTCTCTCCTGCTCCTGGGCAGCTGAGCATTATTCAGAAAAATCAATTAATCACACTTACTAGACTAATTCACTGAACATTCTTGCTAAATAGCCTCAGCAAGTCAGTTATCTGTGATTTTTCTCCACAATAGCTATTGCAAACTATCTCCTCTCTTCTCAAGTCCCCATCATCATCCCAGGCCCTTCCCTTTTCAACAGGTTACTTCTATTTCACTGAACAGTCAGAGCCTATCTAATGTGAACTCATTTAACTTCCCTACTTCCTCCACCAATGATTACTTCTGTATCTTTATCCATCTCTTCTTTCCTGTCACATGTCTTAAATCAGTCCAGCATAGCCCAGTGAACTATTGCGGGACGGACCAAACAGAAAGTATCCAGATCTAGAACTAGTATCTCCATGAAAGCAGTGCTGATACTGGAAGAAAAAGCTGGATAAAAGGTGCTTAGAACAGTCTATAAAGCAGAACTCGGTATCTGAGAAGTAAAGCAACAGATTGCATAGTAATTCTAGCTGGCAGTGAACATAAGGGGGATATAGTAATAAGGGTATTACTACAGGCTTAAATAGCATAAAGACAGCAAAAGCAGAAGCTGGAGACATTCGGAAATATATACCAGTGAGCTTTATAGAAATTTAAGCCAAAAACTGGCACTCAGTCACAAGATAAGGATCCAGTAAAAGAACTTCTTTCCCTAAGATAAAGACTGAGAAGAACTAAGTAGAGACTATAGCAGAGATTAGGCAGTGGTATGCTACTAAATATCTAACACCTGGCTCTCTATGGGAGCAAGTCCTAATTTGTAGCATCTGCCAGTTTCCATGGTATGAATACTCCTAACCATGGACAATCTCAAGCTACCAACATGGCAATGAGAGAACGCACAGAACAGGGAAAAGATGCATAGCAGCACACTATTATACAGTTTTTGTACCCTACATATAAAATAGACTTAAATAAACTACAAAGCATAGATAACAGTAAAATATTCAGGGAGTCAAATTTTTTAGTATTTATTATCTTTAATAAACTTCAAAAATAAATTGAAAACGTTAAAAAGCAAAAAGTAAAAATTGCCTCCCAAATTTGAGATACACTAAAGAAAAAAATAATTCTCTAAAATTTACTCCAAAATTAATAAACCCAATTAATTGCTAAGCAACGCTAAGTTGATTTGAGAGGCCAAAGGAAGTTTGATCACTAGAAGATACTGAAGACTTCACTTTGCTGCAATATTAGCTTCTACTTTTACTTTAAAACATTGCAACCAATGCATAAGACACTAAGTAATTTATGTGCTTGGAGAGAGCTTTCACTAAAACATCCCAGGCTACGCACTTTCATCTGAAGTTCTTCCAGAAACTAGCCCACGCTGGAAACCAGAACTCTGCAGGCAGAGCAGTATTAGAAAAATTCATAACCTCATTTAAGGAGAGAACTGCACATCTCTATGTCCAAGATTATGACAAAGTGCCCTGGCCCTGGAGACTACCAAACTGGCTTTCAATCTAGAAACCCACCTAGGACGCTTATTAACACTGCTGGCATTCTAATACGCTAGAGCAGTTTCTTCTTAAATTCATGTGCTGGGTTTCAAAAGCACATAAATACCAAAATAAATACACTCCACTATATTTGAAAAGAGCAGACCGGTATGACTATCTCAAGACAAACTGATAAAAAAATATTATGAAAAAGCCTTCTGTGAAAACAGTGAAAGAATGTAAGCTTCCTAATAAAATGAACAGAGGTAGCTTTATGAGATAAAAGAATGAGGTAGAAAAACATGCCTAATATGTTTGAGAAACACACACGAGATTGCCATTTAAGAAGCTGGGATTCATTCTTTTCTAAAACTAGAAAGGTAATTTGTATAAAAAGAATACTCATGTTCATTCCCAAGTTTCCCATGTCCTATATTCCTCCTATATAATCAGCCTATTAAAATTTGAACATCTGTTTCTCCCTTGGACTAAAATTAAGGAAAGGATAAAACTCATTATAAATATCATAAACTTTTATGAAACGTGTAGTGATTCAACACGCCTAAGTTAATGAAAAAAATAATTCAGAAACATATGTCAAATGTTTGTAGATTTGCAAAGAAAAGTTGAACTTAAATATAACTAGTGTAAATGACAAATACCAGAAGTAAAGCCTTCAGTGACACTAATATAGAAATAAAACACTAAATTACAAATAAAAGCACAAATGTGGATGCAAATTCTTGATAAATTCATTCAATTTCAAAACAAAAGTAAAGCATTTGAAAAATCCTTATAATAAAGCAAATGAGAATTATAAACACACTAGACAGAATTCATGCCTTAAGAATCCATTGCTAAGATACCAAAATACCAGGTAACTTAAAATTCATTTCTCAAAAAAACTGTTAAAATTTTATTCATCTAATACTATAGTAAATATTTATGTCTAAAGTGTTCTCACCACAAAAAAAAAATGGTAACTATGTGAGGTGACGGATATGTTAATTAGCTTGATTGTGGTGATTATTTCTCAATGTATACATATATCAAATCATTAAGTTGTACACCTTAAATACATACCATTTTCAACTGTCAATTATACCTCAATAAAGTTAGAAAAAATATTTATAAGAATATCAATTAAATGTGCCAAAAACTTTATTATCAAGCAATATGATATAACACTTCATTTTATACTATTGAAACTAAGAGCAAACCAGTTCTAACATCTAAATCCCCTCCCTTTTACTTACCAATAACTGTTTTTGGTCTTTCTTGGCATCCTTGTAAGAGGAGGATCCAGACAACCAAGATGGTAATGGAGTTTACAGGTATCACACAATAAAAGAAGATGCTGATCGTGGTTCTTCTTACAAATTCCACAGCTTTGAATAAAGGCAGCAAATAAAGGATTAGAATAATGATTATTATAGAAAAAGTTAATTTATAGCATATTTTTTAAATATCAAAATTTTGCCTCGATTAACAATATTTCTTTTGTTGAAATCAAATGTTTTTTCATAACACATCTTTTTATAATATCAATAACTAATTATTAGTCCTAAATACTTTTGAGAATATAGAAAAATAGCTTGGATCTAGCATAAATTTAAATATTGGTAGAGTCAAACTTTTCAAAGAAGGGCATATATATTTATTTTCAACATCATCTTTACCTTAATTTTAATTATCACTTAAAACTCATTTAACATTAGCTCAATTTTTCTCTAGAAACATAAATTGTTAAACAAAAGAATTTTCCAATTTTCTACTTCTCTAAAACTACAAAAGAAGTTACTTTACAAACAAAACTCAGTTTATAACATTAATTATAAACCTTTTAAAGAGCCTTCAACATGTAAATAAGCTACATATATAAATAAGTCTCTTTTCAAAATCAGACTTTGAGTTTAAAAATATACCAATTAATATTTATTGCAAAGAACGTAGAGTTTTACTATTGTCATTACTGCTATTTTGGACTTTTGTTTTTAAGGAATCTAACTTTTCTTGTGCAAAAAGGCTACTTAACCACTCGTGAGAGCACAAGCACCATGACCTGAAAATCTACGGCATATTTATATTGGGAATGTAAAGAGTGAGGGAAAAGTTGTTGAGAACTAAAAGAGCCATCCATGTACAGAAACAGCCAAGATATTTGGATTTTTAAAATAACCCTAGAAAAAAAGCACACACACATATACACACACACACACACTAACAACAACTAGTACTTGGTCTCAAAGTTGCTCAGAGTTAAAAAGGAAAATCACCTAAAATATATTCTGAAACAAAAAGGAACTGTAGTGATAAAAGTTAAAAGCACAAGGATATGCTTGATGGTTCCAAATGAACCAAATTTGTTTAGAAAAGCTGGACTGAGAATGTGCTAGTCTTCAGGCTGTACACTAAGACACTAGTGGGCTTTTCCCCCATTTCAAGGAAGTTATTTACTACAATCCATGGAGCGAGCCTCCAACCAAGAATGGAAAGTAATTACAGAGATTGATATTGTTATTATTGCTGCCATTTCTGAGAAAGGAAGAAGTGGTGGGGAGAATATTTGTGTATTTACATAACCATATATATGTGTGTGTATGTGAATGTATACATTTGTGTGTGTCTACGTACATAAACATACTAGCATCTTCTAAACTTTTCTCACTTAATCAATATAATCAGTTACATGAAAAAAATAAGAGCCTAACCTATTTAGGTATGGAAAGAAGTCCTGACTATGTCAGAATACTGTAACAGTGAACACTGTAAAATATTGAGCAAAAAAAGTAAAGAACAAAAATATTTCCAGAAACAAAATTAATATAACTAAGCAGAGAGAAAAAACAAATGTAGACAGATTCAAACCTAAAACTTATCTTTATTATCCACCACTGTATAAAGGAAATACTTTAGATTGTATGTGTTTTCACTACCTAAAAACACATGCAAAATTCTAAAACTCATTCAAGTAAAATAAAATATAAATGCCCATTGATCTAATATATTGTTTTAATTATTTAAGGAAATAATCATCCACATTATTTAAAGTCACTTTCCAATTCCCCAAAGAGGACTGCTCATTTCCATGGAGCTTATGTACACATATCCCCAGTTACTTAAAGGATACAAAAAGTCATTTATCTTATTATCAAAAGACGAGCAAAAATCTCTTCTATCATTCAACCTGGAAAGCATCTTTGATGCAGATATTAATAAAATGAACTTCAAATGCACTTAACTTAAATTCTGGTATGGACATAATTCATTCTCAAATATCTGAAGCATCTTGTTATTAAAACATATTAGTTTAAAAACACACAATATCAATCTGTCATAGTTTCATTACTTGCCTATAAAGTACTGCAGGAAGAGTAGATGTCTTTTGTGTGCCTCCTTCTTTTTTACTTGGTTTTCTCTCCTTGGGTGCTCGCAAAATTGCTGGTATATTCAACTTCTATTGAGTTGAAGAAATGCAGTTTATTTTGTTTTAAAGAAGACATTTAAAGCAACATTTTCCTCTATATGCCACTCAAGTCAACTAAATATGCTAGGATTGTTGGGGGAAAATGTCTTACCAGCTGCTACACTGGCAAAAAGGATTAAAGTGAGTTTTTGTCTCAGTTATTTCCATTAGAACCCTATAATTACAGGCTTTAATCAATTTTCAGTAGAACACTAAAACATGAAAATTAAACTTCTACTTTAGCTTCAAAAAGTGAACAAGGATGAGCATTTAAGAACATTAAAAAAAAATACAGTACACTTGACAAAAAGAATATTGAGGCCGTTTATTTTCCTCAACATCCAGCTACATTGGTGCTCCATAGGTTAATTAGAAAAATTATCTTATTGGACCAAACTCTCCACAAAGCGAATGAGATTCTCTTTGGGCTTCTACTAATCTGTAGTATGCTGGCTTCTCAGACCGCAACCATCTATCAAAGTCATTTCTCAGTGGCCCGGTGGGCCGGCGTCTGTTCAACCAACTGGAAAAAAGTGTCATGCAAGCAGTATAAATGAATTCTACTTATGCTGTGTATTTTATATTTGCACAAGAAAATCTGTGAACTTCTATTAAAAGTCATTTAGTAAGTGAAAATGCCCTTTTATGGTAGACAATGTTTTACACTAAATAGGAGATTCTTATAAGGCAAACTCGCAAATCCAGGCAAAAGATAACACCAGGTTGGCAAATAAACTAATAATAGGCTTGCACTCAACATTAACTTCTCTAAATATAGAATATAAAACACCATAATCTTCTAAAAATCCATCAACAACCTATCAATAGGAACAAAGGTCAATTCTCCATAGGCGACTACTCATTATCACCTTTTAAATTATGTTATTCATTATAATATAAGCCACATAATCCTGTTCACATGAGAAGCAGCTTCAAAGCTAGCACAGCACAATACATATCAGTATGTATTACTTCAGTAAAATAACATGTCTACATGAATTATATGATGAATTTGACTCTTTGTAAACCTCTGAAACAAGTACCATAAAAAAATATCTGTTCTTTGAAAAGTCTCCTTCATACATAAGACCACTAAGGACTATTGTGAGTCTCTAGCATCCTTTAAAAATATAACTGAAATTATCTGAATGAGTTCTTAATTTATGTATCACATACACAGTACTAAAAAAGCATTCAAAGAAATCCATTTGGCAATGATTGTTTTCAACAGCAAGAACATTAACAGGCTAAAAATGTTCAAGGATAAAGTAATTTTTTTTTCATAACTATAATAGTTACTAAAGGGAAAAAACTATAACATTAAAGTTCAAAAACCATCTCTTACATAGCTCAAAACCAAATCAATATGAAAATGAATCTCCCCAGTTTGCCTTTTAAATTTTACATCCAAAAGAAAAAGAACTAAATACAGCACAAGTACAAGACAGAAAAAATTACCAAGGAATCTAAAACTGCTCAAGTAGAGGAAAGAAGAATGTGGTAGGAGTAACTCATACTTCAAATCTTAGCTTCATCACAAATGACAGGTCAATCAGTTAGAGCAAATGAAAACATTTTGCAAACAAGATAGCTGTTAAAGCAACCAAATTAAGCTACAGGTTCTCAGTAGGCAGCTTCCAATGCTCTAGATGTGTTTCAGGCAGAAATCATTATCCCAGAGGATTAGCTTGCCCTAATCAAACAGAATTCTTCAGTTAGTGAAGTGACAGTTTTATCAGAGATCTGATCTCTGAAAATCATATAGAGAGCAAGAACAGAAGGAGATAGCAATTGGAAAGAAACTAACCTGCCCTGTGATTCTGCCTAGCAAGGCCCATATTCCTTGCCCTTCACTTCGAAGTTTTCCATTCAGGTTCTGTAGTTCTTCTAAAGATTCACATAGCTACAATGTAAATAATTCAAATTAGTAAATCATGAAAATATGTAAAACTTAAATATTTATCAATAAGTATCCAAGAAGGTCTATCTTTACATTCCATATATTTTTAATACATTCAAGTCACAATACCACTGACAGATAAGGCTATCCAATTATTTACACAGCACCACCAAAATGTAAGCTTTTTGTTTTATGTTAGCATTTTTACTACTAATAACGATACCTACATTTATATATTCTGTTATAGTTTACTATATAATTTCACACACCTTATGCTAATTAATCCTTATGACTTTATCAAGATATACCTCCCCCATTTTCCGAATGAGAAAACTAAGGATCATAGGGTTTTTGTGACTTGGTCAAGATCATAGAACTAGCAAGAATCCCCAGGTTTTCTCAATCTAATACCAGTACTCTTTTCACCACAGTGTGGCTGATTATTGGAAATTTACTTCCTACTAATTTTTTTATCACTTAAAACGTTATCTAACAATAAGTCAATACCAGTTTTATATGCTCATGTTACTTATTACCTAACATTTTAGCCACATCTTGCTTTTATATGATACTTCTTTTTGATCTCCCTCATCATAGAATGAAGATGTAGAATGGAAATTTAAATTGGGAAGTATTTTTTTAAATCAAAAGTAACATTACAAAACAATTCAAGATAAAAATAGTAATTTAAAAATAAGTTTCTAGGGGCCAGCCCGGTGGCATAGTGGTTAGGTTCACACGCTCTGCTTTGGCGGCCCAGGGTTCACGGATTTGGATCCTGGGTGCAGAGCTGCGCACCACTTATTGAGTCATGCTGTGGCAGGCGTCCTACGGATAAAGTAGAGGAAGATGGGCACGGATGTTAGCCCAGGGCTAATCTTCCTCACATACACAAAAAATAATAAGTTTCTAAGTTTTCTACAAACTTAGAAAGAGAAGTCCTATGGTACATATGGTACATATAATACAGTGGTTAGGAATAAGGAATGGAGTCAGACTGCGTGGCCTCAAACCGCAACTCTCTGACCTGACTACCTACGTGAGCCTGGGCAAATTACTTTACCTGTTTAGGACTCAGTTTCCTCCTCTGAAAGTGGGAGCAATAATCATAACTCACATTATAAAGCTGAAGTGAGGATTAAATGAGTTAATACATATAAAGTGCTCAAAATTGTGCCTGGCACATAGAAAGTGCTCAGTAAGTGTTAGCAAAGATAATGAAGATACTGAGGAGTAAAAGTTGTAAGGAAGGACATAAAACTCCAGAAGAATTTCAAAATGAAACATAAACAGAAATGCTATAAAATCACAAAAGAAATCATCAATAAGATATACTGTTATTTGTTTTGTAGCCAACTTACCTTATTATATTCCACATGAAGCTTTTCTTGTTCATTCTCTAATTTATCCTTTATATTCTTTTGTTCAGCCATATTTTCCTGAATTTGAATCATGCGCATATTTCTCTCTATTTAAATTAAACACCCAATTTTACTTAGTAGAAAATAAAAGCTGATATACAAAATACACAAAGGAAGAAGCTAGCCATAAAGATGATCACATGAAGTAACCTACATTGTTTAAAAACTGCTCGCAAATACATGAACCTAGCATTTTGCAACAATCCCCAGCTTATTAGGAAAATAAACATGCTTTTACTTGATATACGTAGCATGGCTAATAAATTGCTAAAAATTGACAGCATATCAAATATTTTCATTAGCAAATTGTTCTCATTGAAAATGTGCATGTATTAGTCTCTATACTGACCAAAATAATAATTCACAAAATCAGCAGTGAGAGCAGGTTGCTTATGCTTTCTCCTTCCATCCACACTAGAACTAGTATCTGAATTGTCCACTGGGAAGATATCTGTACTGATTCCCATTAGCTCTGCTTTCCGCATCAGTTTACGAATGGCTGAAGCACTGCTAGTGAGTGGTCTGGGCAATTTTTCCCTTGGAACCCAGGCCTGGGGTCTCGTGGATCGAGCTAGTTCTGCTTTGGCACGATATTGTTGAAGCCGGGCATTGATCCTTGCCTATGAAAGAAATGAATACAAATTTTAAAATATATTGAAATGGAACATACTCCTTATGATTTTTACTTCCATGCTTAAAGAAAGCAAAGACAAGCAGAATTTCCTAAATCAAGGCAAATTATACCTATCCATGGTCCTTAAGATATACTGTATAATTCCTAATTTTTGGGTTACAATAAACTAGGTCTACCCCTAGTAACAACTGTCCTGTTCTATGATCAGAGTTGTCAGAAACTAATTCGATTAAGCCAAAGTTTCTCTTCTCAATAACTGTAACAGTCTCCATAAATTTACTTAATTTACATAGAAAAACATTTTAAATGATGGGCAAACTGATCAAATCCTTTGCATAAATGAACATTAGAACAGACTGAAAAGAGACATGGTCAACATATGGCACTGACAGAATAATTTCCTCTAAGCCATATTTTTCAATGTATTTGGAAACATGCTTTATAAACGGCTGCTCTGTTGACCAGATGAGGAGTAATGTATTCAGCCACAAACTATACTCACCATTTACCTTAACAACAACCCACTTCCTAGGTAACTAACCAAATTTCATAATTATACTTCACATGTCATTGGCAAACACACAAGAGATCTAAAATCTATAACCTTGAAAGAAAAACATGAGTTTTGGCACGAATCCCATACCTGTGCTTCTGGTGACAGCTGCTTCTCTCTCTCTTGTAAAGACATTTTACAATAGGATTGTAGAGCCAAGTAGTTTTTTCTCTTCCACTTTCTGTCTAACCTATCTGCATGTTGCTTACAATAAGCAAAAAATGGATCTGCTATATCCTATACCAAAAAACGGGGAAAAAAATGAACATTTTTACTCCAAAGGGTCATGAAAACCTAACACAAGAGATAATATTTCCTTTTTGAAGAATTTCCTACAGTGTCGGTTATTTCTAAAATAAATTACAAAAGTAATTTTCTAATTACTAGGAAATTAGTAATTTCTTAAAATACCTAAGAAAATAATCACTGTTAAAACAAATAAGATTTTAACAATCTTAGGTAGAAACCATCTTTAAATATTAAAGTTATGCATACATAGATTAATATTACAAAACAATAATATATCCAGAATATACAGGTAAGATAAGTGGGAAAATACACACAGATAAGTGGGGCATTTCTAACTGGCTAGCAACGCATGGACAGATTCTACCCAGGACAAAAGTGGATTAAGTAGGCCAGGCCCTGTCAATAAAACACTTTAGGTATCCCCTTTAACTCTCCGTATAACCCTAAAACCTCAAATGGAAACACACCTCTCTCACAACCATCTTTCATGTACTAGCCTAATGGGTACATTTTTTATTCATAAAGAGTAGGGTACCAAAATAAAAAGAAAAAACTCTATCAAAACCAGAAATAATTTATAAATACATACCCAAAAAAAGCAATCTGCAATGTGATTGTCAACAAAATGACAAGTAGTTCACTTTTTAGGTCAGTCCCAAGGAGGAAAAATAAAGATAAGCTATCCATAGAGTTTTTATCAAGTTATGTTAAAAGGGTCTCTTAGTAAGGTAGGGTTTTACAACCCAAAGAGAAATTATGACACTAAAAAGAAGAAACAAATCAGAAAGAATAGAAAGAGAAATAATAATAAAAAAATCTAACGTGTCCTTAACATAAAAAAAGCATATGATATAATTCTATAGTGTGATATCCATAGATGTCACAGTATGGCACTGCAGATGAGATCACAGAAATTGGAAATATAAAAATCTAGATACAAATCTTGCCTCCAGCATTTACTGGCTTTGCAGCTTCAAACAAGTTGCTGAGCATCTCTGGGCCTCTGTTAACTCATTAGCAAAATGGAAAAAAAAATAACTACTTCATATGGCTAGAAAAATAAAATACAAAAAATGTAGATACGAGACTGCATTAACACAACACACACAGCTTTCTCATGATATGCTTTAAATCTTGGTGACAAAGATGCTAAATGGAAAAAAGGTTATACCGAACCTCAGCCAAAATGGCCAGATCTGGAGAATTATTCTATTGTTTTAAAGTAGGTAAGGTTGAAATTGAGTTATCAGAGATAGGATTCATACTTCCATAGGTGAGTTAAGCATTAGGACTAAGACTCTGACTTAGGAAAAAGACCAGTTATCTCTGATTTAAAAGATATCTGAAAGGGAATAAGTAACCTAAGTAATATTTTTTTTGTTTTAATTAATTAATTTGGGATTCTGGAACAATAAACCCTAATTCTAAGGCCAGAATGACCAAGAGATTAATCTTATTTAGAGAATGGAACAGATATACTAAGCAAATACTAACTACAGCAGAAACCACTAACTGTCTTTCAATATCTATTTTCCTTTTCTTCCCTTTAATACTAAAACCCTTTTACTGAGTACATAGTTTTTTTTGTTGTTAGTGTCGTCAAGTAGATGTCAACTCCTAGCAACCCTGTGTACAACCGAGTGGAACTTAGCCCAGTTTTTTGCGCCATCCTTTTACCTTCCGGCGCTATATCAGACAATGCTCCGCTGTTATTCATAGGGTACATGGCTACCCTGGTAGAAACTCTCTGCTCCAGCCTCCCTGCAGCTAGATACAGCCATGTGACAAGTTCTGGCCAATGAGGTGTGTGAAATTTCCAGACCATGCCCTTGAAAGGAAAGTGCCTACTTTTAACCTCCACTTTCCTCCTTCCAATGGGGTGGAACCTAGTCAGGGTGGTGATAAACCATCTCTGACCATGTGAGAAAGTGCTACAAACTAAGGGAAGAGGAAGCAACAAGTAAGAAGGCACCTAGTCCCTGGAACCAAATATCCCTGAATATCCCCTAAACATCAGATCAGTTTGGAATCTTACATTAGAGAGAATTTAACTTCTTCCCTGTCTAAGCCACTCATTATTTGGTTTTGTTAAACCAGTCAAAATAGTTTTGTACTGGTTGGCTTGGAATATCCCTTCAACCTGCTTAGAGAAATGGAGCTTCTGAGATCCCACTCCCAAAGGAAAATGAAAAGGGAAAACCATTTTTCTGAATATCTACTATGTGCCAGGCACAGGTACCTTTTTACATACTATCTCACTTATCCTTTACCACTACCACATGATAGGGGCTCTATTACTTTAATATCAACTTTACAGATAGAAAACTGAAAACCAAAGAGGTTAAGTTGCTAACTCAAGATCTATGGCTAGTAAGTAAGATCTGTCTTTTTCAACCACCACCTGACTGTCATCAGCTTCACTTACGGAGGTTTCTAAATAGAGATGACTAATGCCCAGCTCTAGAGATTCTGATTCAGCAGGTCTAAGGCAAGACTTGTAAATGCAAATACCTTGAGAAACAGTACCAGTAAACATAAATGAGTAAAGGGGACCTGAAAGATGCTGGAAATTATAAGACAAAAGTAAATGATGGGGGGGTGGGATGAATGGTGGGAACTGTGAGAACTGTAGGGCCTGTGGCAAACTGGAATGCCCCATATAAAGGCATTCAAATTCAAGGTTTTCTTTTTATAACACTATTCCTATAGGACAAAATGTATCTACAGGTCAAATTTAGCCTGTGGGCCTCCAAATGGCATGGTCTGGTCTATAACCTTAAAAAAATTTTTTTTCCTTTAAACAAAGCTCCCTGAATAATACTGACACAGCAGATCAAAGGAGCATAAACTGAAAGAAACTTGTCTTGTACGTTCAGAACCATCTGGCACTTATAAAAACAGTATATTTTTAAGAAAGTAGAGATGTTTTATTGGTATCTTAATAATAAAATTGAAGTGTTTACAGAAACCAGAAGAGTGTAAATTCTACAATGAGTTAGCAGCATATCGAATTTTATCTTTTCAATTATAACACCATCAATGTTCTTGTCCACCCACCTCAGCCACCTAATTGCCACGAACGTACCTAGATTCCATACTGTCTCCATAATTCATTGCCTAAAGTATCATGCCTTGAGCATCGCCTTTTATCTTTCCTGCCCACTCCCTCTAAGACTCAAACAAGTTTTTAACACCATTCAGATCTCCAGTGTATGACTTTCTACCTTCTGACCGTCCTACAGCCCATGCACATAATGACTGCCCTCTTTACCTGATTATTCCATGGTCCATCAGTTAATTACTCCTTTGCATGGAGCATCAACTCGTTTGCTCCTCTCTTCCTCACCTACCTTCACTTGAGAAAACCTGAAGCACAGATAAATCCAACTCTTCCCCTACTTTGCACCTGCACCTGAGCAGCTAAACACATTCCCAAGTTAATTTACTCTCCATTTTCATAGACAATTATTGCAAAACTTCATCTCTCCCTCAAACCATCAATATCTCCTCCCTATTCCTGACTTGCAGATGCTGACCTTATTTGTTTCTTAATTTCACTGGAGAGGAGGTTGGGGAGGGGGAGAAAAAGCAACGAAATGAGAACTTCCACACCCTCCAATTACCACATACATCAACCTAGCTACAACCCTACCCACATCCTCTGCCTCGTCTCCTGTTACTATGGATAAACTGCCCAAAGTTCCTATCCAAGGTTAACTCCCTCACTTGTGCATTGGATCCCACCCCTTCTTTCCTCCAGCAATTCTACCTCTCTCCTGCACTTTTCCTCTCTACTGGATCACGCCCTTCAGCATATAGCATATTAAACATACTGCAGTATCTTTAAAAAACAAACCTTAAAGATCTTCTTTGGGCTCCCATATGCTGTTCCACTTCTAAGCTCCTCTTAAAAGGAAAAAATCTAAAGTCCTGTCCATATTAGCTACCTTCAATTCTATTCCACTCCCGTTTTCATGATTACTACCAACCACTCCAATAGATCCTGTCAAGGGAAAAATGACCTTCATTTTGCCAAATCCAGCAGTCATTTCTCAATATTAATCTTATTCATTTGATACACTTGCTCATTCCCTCTTTGAAACACTTCTTTGAAAGACCCCTGGTATACTATTCTCTCTTAGTTCTCTTTTCCCTCACTAATCACTCCTCAGTCTCCTTGGTAGATTCCTTCATATTTTCCCAACCTTGAATGCTGAAGTAGCCCTTTGGCTGTCATCAGATCTCTTTTCATCTCCATTCACTCTTATACCCTAGCTAATTTCATCTAGTCATCTCATCATAAATACTATCTGTACTCTGACAGCTCCCAAATTTATAGCTTTAGCCTTGACTGCTTCCCCAAATGTCAGAGTCAGATAGCCAACTATCACTAGATGTCTCCATTTAGATGTCTAATAGACATCTTGAACTCAACACATCCAAAACCATATTCAATGTCCCTTTCTCCTGCAACAAGTCTGCTCTTCCTGCAGTCTTCTCCATCTCGGTAAACTGCAATTCCATTCTACTAGAAACTCAGGGCAAAGAGAAGTCAACTTTAATCCTTCTCTTTCTATTATACTCTACAAACAATCTACCAGCAAATACCTAAAAAGTCTGTCCTTTCTCATTATGTCAACCCTAAAACCTGCTGCAATAAGATTCCCAACTGGTCTCCCTACTTTTACCCTTGCCTCTCTATGGTCTGTACTCGACACAATAATCAGAGCGGTCCTTTTAAACATAAGTGGGTTCACATGTACTCTATGCAAAACTCATAGCTTCCAATCTTATTCAGAATAAAAACCCAAAGGCCTTCCCATTTTCTTCCAGGTCCTATGTGATGTGGCCCCCTGCTACCTCTATGACCTCCTTCTTCCCCTCTTACCAACTCCAGTCCCTAACTGTACCAGCTATACCAGTCTCCTTGTTGGTCCTTAAACCAAGTACGTTCCTACCTCAGAGTCTCTGCATATTCTGTTTCCTCT